GCAAGTTCATCATGTGAAAGCCAAAAGGCACGTATAGTTTGGAATATGAAGGTGATGGAAGTGGGAGAGGAGACAGGTTAGATGATCCCTTTCTATGCCATGTTAAGAAGCATGGACTTTGGATCCTAAAGGCAGTGGGGAAAATCGTTGAAAAGTTTTAAGCAGAAATATTTGCATTTCTGAAGGTTTAAACACAGAAGAAAACTTTCTTCGATGGTTACGAAGGTGGGGAGGGAGGGAGAAGGTTATTCACTAACTAGATAGTAGACAAGGATTATCTTAGGTGAAGGGAAGGACGGCACACACTACAGAGCAAGTCAGCACAACTGGACTAAACCAAAGCTAAGAAGTTTCCTGAGTACAACCAAACACTTCGAGGGACAGAGTAGCAGGGGCAGGGGTCGGGGGACCGTGCTCGCAGGGGACATCTAGGTCAACTGGCATAACAAAGTTTAAGAAAATGTTCTGCATCCTACTTCAGTGAGTGGCATCTGGGGTCTTAAAAGCTAGCAAGCAGCCGTCTAAGATGCCTCAATTGGTCCCAGCCCCCCTGGAGTAAAGGAGAATGAAGGACACCAAAGAAAGTATTAGCCCAAGAGACAGAAAGGACCAGAGACTGCATCAGCCTGAGACCAGAAGAACTAGATGGTGCCTGGGTACCACCAGTGACCACCCTGACAGGAACACAACCGAGAGTCCCTGATGGAGCAGGAGAAAAGTAGGGTGCAGAACTCAAATTCTAGTAAAAAGACCAGACTTAATGGTCTGAGACTGGAGGAACTCCAGAAAGCACGGCCCCTGGAATCTCTGTCAACCCAGAACTAAAACAATTCCCGAGGCCAACTCTTCAGACAAAGATTAGACTGGCCTATGGGACATAATATGATACTCATGAAGAGTGTACTTCTTAGCTCAAGTAGATACATGAGACTAAATGGGCAGCTCCTGTCCAGAGGTGAGACGAGAAGGCAGAGAGGGTCAGGAACTGGTTGAATGGACATGGGAAATCGGGTGGAAAGGAGAAGTATACTGTCACAATATAGGGAGAGCAATTTGGGTCATATAGCAATGCATGTATAAATTTTTATATGAGAGACTAACTTGAATTGTAAACTTTCACTTAAAGTACAATAAAAATAAAAAATAAAAAAAATTGCATTTCTGAAAGATCAGTCTGGTGTGTTTTGCTCCTTCTTTAAGTTTTCTTAGCACCTTAACATGAATTTCATATTCATTCCAGGAGATGAGCCTTCTTGTACCACCCCATGCATTGATTTATTTTCTTGAAAACTCTGTGTCATAGATTAAATTGTGACTCCCAAAAAATATGTGAATCAATTTGGCTAGGCCATGATTCCCAGTATTGTGACTGTCCATTTTGTCATCTGATGTGATTTTCCTATGTGTTGTAAATCCTATCTCTATGATGTTGATGAGATGGGATTAGTGGCAGTTATGTTAATGAGGCAGGACTCAAGATTGGATCCTGTCTTGAGCCAACCTCTTTTGAGACATAAAAGAGAGAAGTGAGCAGAGAGACATGAGGACCTCATACCACCAAGAAAGAAGCACCAGGTGCATAGTGTGTTGTCTTAGTCATCTAGTGCTGCTCTAACAGAAATACCAAAAGTGGATGGCTTCAACAAAGAGAGGTTTATTCTCTCACAGTCTAGTAGGTTACAAGTCCAAATTCAGGGCTTTGGCTCCAGGGGCACGCTTTATTCGTTGGCTCTGGAGGAAGGCCCGTGTCATCAGTCTTCCCTTGGTCTGGGAGCGTCTCAGCGTAGGAACCTCACGTCCAAAGGATGCGCTCTGCTTCCAGCACTGCTTTCTTGGTGGTATGAGGTTCCCATGTGTCTCTGCTTGCTTCTCTCTTATATCTCAAAAGAGATTGGCTTAAGACACTATCCAATCTTGTAGATCTCATCAGTATAACCTCATCATAGTGTTTACAATACATAAGGAAATCACATCAGATTACACAATCATACAGTACTGGGAATCATGACCCAGGCAAGTTGATACATTTTTGGGGGGACATAATTCAATCCATGACATGCATCCTTTGGACCTGGGGTCCCTGCACTGAGAAGCTCCTAGTCCAAGGGAAGATTGATGACAAGGACCTTCCTCCAGACCTGACAGAGAAAGCCTTCCCCTGGAGATGATGCCCTGAAATCGGACTTCTTACCTACTAGACTGTGAGAGAATAAATTTCTCTTTGTTAAAGCCATCCACTTGTGGTATTTCTGTTGCAGCAGCACTAGATGACTAAAACGCTATAAGGAAAATTCATTTTTTAATTCATTTATTGAACAAATACTGGTTAAGTACATATTAGTTAGTGCAAGGTACCGCTTCAAAGGATATATAAAAATACAAGCATACAAAATATGATTTGCATTATACAATGATTCTTAAATTTCCAGATTTATGTAAAAGTTCAGATTTATATTTTTAAAACCCACGAGAAGAAAACTATTTGAGGAAATTTGTTTTCCTTGTCTCCAGGGACGACTGTAAAATGAAGCAAGCACATATTTTGTAACCGGTTCAAATGACCTAGTTAAAAATGCCTATTGCTAGTTAAACCAGTCTAATGACAATTGAAAAACAGGTCTCCAAATGCTCCTGATCCTCAACCTGAAGGATACACCAACTGTGAGGGCAGGATGTCATCTCTTTCAGTAGAGACATGTTGATGCACCATCTTTCAGGAGAATTAAAATTAAATCCCTCAAGAAGAGAATGATGATTTATAAGTCTAGCTAAGTCTGAGATACTGTCTGCATTCATTTGATAGAAAGGTGTTATACACATATACATTATATAACATGATACCGAATGAACTTTCCTCTTTGCCTATCTGGAACCAGACCATTTGTTTAAAGGCTTTGAATTAAATTCTCCCAGTTTTTACGAGTGTGGAAAAGGATGAGTGTGCTGTCACAGTACAGGGAAAGCAACTAGGGTCACATAACAATGTGTGTATAAATTTTTGTATGAGAAACTAACTTGAATTGTAAACTTTCACTCAAAGCACAATTAAAAGTGTGGAAGTTAAACTCTACAAAATTCCTCGAAGAACAGTTTCCACAATATATTCGCCACAAATTGCCCTTCCAAGCAAGGGGGAACTTTTCTTAAGTTCAGGTATTTTTAAGAAGTAGAATTTTACACACATATTAAAATTGAAGTGGTTTTGTGGAACTAGAAGGGAACTCTATAGAAAGGGAACTTTTCTATAGTTTGTTCAAGTTAAAGATACTCATACTTGATTTAAAAATAATAAAATGAAGTTATAGACCCATCAAAAATACAGTACAGTGTGGTTTGATCATAGAGTAATGAGGCTAATTTTTTTTTTTATCACGAGACTTGGAGTCACACAGAGTACAATATAGTCATACAGTGTCCCTTCCTCAGCCAGGAGCAACACAGTGAGACCAGCCAAGAAATGTGACTCGTGACAAAACTAAGGCAACGTTGCCCATACTGTTTTTCCATTTCATGTGCCCTCTGGAAGGACAAAAGTAGAAAAGCACAACCTATTGTGAATGTTAGCTTTTCACATTCTGTAAACTGCAGTAGAATGGCTGCTATATGCTGTGCTAGGATTAGTACTGGGACTGGGTTTCTAATACCTGAATTTCCCCACAATCCAACTTCTTAAAATATGTTGAAAATACAGAGCACAACTAAGTTAATTTCTCCTTGCGTAACTGGAAAAGTCTAACTTAGTATTCTGCTCCCTCATTGATTTTGATTAAAATTATAATATTCATAGGCAAAAAGAGTTCAGAGTTAAAAGAGTATCATGAATGGGTCAATACTTTTATGGACAGACTTTAAATTGGACTGTGTTCACTGCCTTAGTGCATTAGTGAAATTAGTGTTTTATTGTGTGCATTGCTTTGGTTGAAAACTAACAGCCACATTCCCAAGACTTGTTCAGCCTTTAATTAAATAAAATGTTTACTGAGCTTCCAGTTGGTTCTTCCACTCTGCTAGGTGCCAGACGATTCTGAAGAAATCAGACTTGGCTTCTGACCTCAAAGAGCCAGTCTGAAGATGGACTGCCAGAGAATGTCTTCACCATGAAAACCCACCACGGCAACTGGAATAAACTAACAACAATACCTCACATTCATTAAATGCTCACAACAGAACCAGAAACTTTGTATCAATTAGCTCATTTAAACCTAATGACAGTTCTGAGTATTATCATGAATCCTAATTTGCAGATGAGGACACTGAGGTTTAGGAAAGTTATGTAACTTGCTTAAGGTCAGTTAAAGTTACACACATCTGCGTGTTTGCATCTGCTGAGTAATCTGTTTCTAGGCCTCCATCGCCAAAAAGATCTTCTAAAAGGTGGACTTGGATGATGGGAAAGAAGGGAGAGAAGGTGTGCTTTCTAAGATCAGGTCCCAGAGGCCCAGTACTAATCTTGTTCTTCTGTTGACCCAGCTGGTCACACCCCCTGGCAGACGGCTGGCAACTGGTTCTCCGAGAAAAACTACATAAACCAGGGCCAGGTGGGGGGAGAAGAGGCAGAGAAATGGAAAAATAAAAACGCTGTCCACGCGGGGTAAGAGAAGCAGGAGACCTCGAGCAGCGCACCTTTGCTGCCCACACACGTATCTTGACCTGGCTTGGACAAGCAACAAGGTACACTAAAGACCTTCCCGCGTCCACTGGGGCCCCGAATAGCAGGCCAAGGCTCATCCCTGACTCTGGGGAAGACGGATACATGCGCCTCCTCAAACTTAAAGAGGTGACAAAGGGGCCGCTACGGCAAGTGCGCACCAGGAGAGTTGCTTGTAATACGTCTGGCTGCGCGGAGCCTCCGCTCCCGGTTTCCTCTAAAAGCCGGCAGCCTGACCGCGTGCGCGCAGCGCAGGAGGCCCGAAGGACGTCACCGACGCACATTCGAGCCTCCAGCCCGCCCCCCGCGTACCCTCCCTTTCCAGTGACGCTATCGCGGAGGCGGCGGCCGGCTCACAACGACACGGTAACACCCGCTCTCCAGCCCACCAACCTCCTCTCGCAGTGGGGGCCCAAAGATGGCGGCTCTCAAACTCCTCTCCTCCGGGCTACGGCTCTGCGCCTCTGCCCGTGGCTCCGGAGGCGCCTGGTCCAAGGTAAAGTGCCCTCGAAGAAGAAGGCCACCCGCGAGAAGAACAATGAGGAAACCCCGAGTGGTGCCCGCTTTTGCTTCTCTGCTTGCATCCACCCGCTCCAGAAGTTGGCATCCATGGCGCGGTGGCCGAGGGTCAAGGAGACCCGCTGCTCCTTCCGATGACCTCCTTTGCTTGGCTCTGCATCGCTTTCCCGGTGGGGCGAGACGAGACAAATAAGCGGGCGGAGAAGCTGAGAAGGGCAGGAGGACGGCTGGCTGCGTCGCCGCGCCCTTCGGGGCTTGCTCGTATCTTCCCGGGTTCGCGTCTCCGCAGCGCCCGAAGCCTGCTGCCCTCACTGTGTTCGCCCTTGAGAAGGGACCCTGACAGTCGGCTCGGGTCGCAGAGGGCGCCAGTTTAAGGAGGGGAAAGGGTGGAGGCAGCAGGCGGTAGGTTTGCACCCCGAATTGGGGATTTAAGGCTAGGAGTGTCTCCAGAGGCCTGGAACCCGGAGCTGGGTTAACAGCAGCTGGGCTGGAGCTCAGCGCCAAGAGGGTGGATGCTGGGTGAAGCAGGAGTGAAATACCGCTCCTCACCCACTCCTTCCCTATAAGGCTGTGCCAGACCGTGGTGGTGGAAAAAGGAACCCGGACTGGGCGCTTGCCGAGAGAGTATTTGTGAGGGAGGCGCCTAGGCGGCCAGGTGGAGAAACTCGCGCGCAGTCTCCGAGCGTGGGCGCCCTTCTCCCCGAGCCCCTACTATCCGGTTTAGGGCCTTTCTGTTTTCAAAGTCCATTGAAACCGTCGTCCCGCCCTTACTACCGGACTCTCCACCAAGTGGCATTCGGAGACACTCACCGCGGATTGTTGGTTGATGTGTTTTTGCACCTTGCACTTGCAAGCCCGCTGTCTGGTGAGATTCCCGGTCTTCAGAGCGGAGCAATTGGACCAGAGCGCTTGGTCCAGGAGGGTGGCTTTTCTAGGCTACCTCAGTAAACGCGGTAGCCTCTTCTTAGGAAGGGAAAACGAAAAACGATATTTTTACTTAGTAGTATATTGAATAGGAGCCCAGGTGGCACAGCGGTTAAGCGCTCAGTTGGCTGCTAAGTGAAAGGTCAGCAGTTCAACCCACCAGCAGCTCTTGGGGAGAAAGATGTGACAGTCAGCTTCTGTAAAGATTACAGCCTGGGAAACCCCGTGGGGCAGTTCTGCTCTGTCCTGTAGGGTAGCTCCGACTGGACGAAAATGATGTTTTTTGGTGGGTGGGGTGGGGGTGGTTTAGAACCGTAGTTTTGAGTTTAAAAGTGCCTTGGACCCATGCGGGTCACGGAGAAATCCTGCCCCGCCCCATTGCTATTCTGTCTTTCCAGAAACCTTTCTAAGTGCTAGGGAATGATTTAGACCTGGATTGCAGATAGCTTTGGCCATATAAGGCATTATCAAAAGGAACTTGACCTGCTGTTAGATTGCTACGGGTGCTGAAGTTAATGCAAACCAGGTCACAGCTATATCCTTGGGCCAAAGTCAATTCGCATGCCGTCTTATTTGCCTAAGTGTAATTTAACCTCACTTCCAGTCTTTCCTCCTCATATTTGGAGACCAAACTACAGGTAATGGGTTTTGCAGTATCTCACTGAAAGTTAAGATCAAGGATTGAACTTTCCTCTTTCATGCTTGATTGCTGTAGGTCCAACTCAGGCTTTCCAGAGTGTTCCCAGCCCATGGTAATTGCTCCCTCCCCCAGCTGATGGTACTTGGTGCCCTTGCTGCTTATGTAACACTTAAATCCTGACTTCCTACTTCTTTTGAACTGTAACACACTTTTTATGTAACTGTACTTGTTTAACTTTTCAAACATATATTGTTTTCTCAACCATATAAGTTACTTGTTGACGAGGATTATATTGTATGCCTATTCTTGGGCTCCCTCAGCATTACACACTACCCTGCATGGAGTAGACACTCAACACATGTTTAATACATGGATGAGAAAAACATGTAGGCAAGCTTAAGTAGTAACCTTGATATCTTTTTCTGCTAAACACAGCCAACAGGTAAAATTATATATATAACTTTTTAAAAAATGATACTTTAGCACAGTGTTTGTTAAACTTGAGCATGCATCAGAATTACCTGAAAGTTTTTAAAAACAAATTGCTGTGCTCACCCCTAGAGTTTCTGATTTAGAGGGTCTGGGATGGGGCTAGTAATTTGTGTTAACAAGTTCAGGTGATGTTGATGCTGCTAGTCTAGGGACCATGCTTTGAGAAACACTGGCCTGGCACAATGCATGGACTGAGGTTTGAATAGACTATCTGGACTTCCTTTCTTCCTTAGTATGGAAAAGGAGACATTTAATTCTATTTTTCCATTCCCTACAGAAAATTATTAGTGGGAAAATAAACATAAAACTACCATTAACACTTTACCTACCTCTCTTCCTTAAAACTCGAAATCTCTCTCCAATTTCAGACTCTCCTGAGCTTCAGTCATTCTATAGCAACTGTTTACTGGTTGACTCCCCCTGGGTGCTACTCAACACTGCAAGCTCTTTCTGAACCAAACTGAACCAGCCCTAAAGTGGCTCTTTCTTCCTTTGCTTTTTTCATTATGGTCAACAGCACTACTCTTCATCCAACTGTGTAAGCTGGAAGTCTTGGAGCCATCCTTTCTTAACTCTCCTCCTTACTCCACATCACCAAGCACCTCTTTCTGAAATATCCCTCAGTGCTGTCCTTTGTACTCTTTACCAACAATCCTCCATTTCTCCCTGATAGCATCCCAAGTGAATATTACAATTATGTTTAAGTTTTTGTAGTTATTTAGTGAATATACTAGTTCATAAGCTTTATCATAGCAGGGACTACAGCTATTTTGTTTTAGTTTTCAACTGTTTCTCCAGTATTTAGTATGTTGTTATGTGCCATCAAGTCGGTTCCGACTCATAGAGACCCTATAGGACCCAGTAGGACTGCCCCATAGAGTTTCCAAGGAGTGGCTGGTGGATTCGAACTGCCAACCTTTTGGTTAGCAGCCAAGCTGTTAACCACTTCGCCACCAGGGTTCTGTGTTTAGTTAGTATAGTTGATACAACATATTGTTGAATGAATGAGTGAGCTACCCCCATACCCTCATCACTTTCCTGGTTCAGGCTCCCATATGAGAGTTGTGACATCTTTATGTATAAACAGCTGTGATGCCCCTTCATTGAAGGATGAAGTTGAAACTCTTTAGTGTGGTATTTACTGCCTTTTACAACCTGCCCCAGTCTGACCTAGATGAACTTATGTCTGTGGAACATGACCCTGCAGGTCCCTGGTGTAACACACTGAGTCTCTTCACATCTCTGTACCTTTACTCACGCAGCTCCCTCTGTCTGGAATCCCCATCCCTATTAACCTTTTTCTTACCAGGGACTCCTTAACCTTTCTGACCCACCAGGCAGAATTAGTTACCCTTTAGTCTGTGCCCCTTTAGAACGCTGTGCATACCTCCGGCCTTTGAACAGAACACGTATGTCCCCTTGAAAACAGAGTACACCGTTGCAATAGAGAATTACTTAGTGTCAGTGACTCCCTGTAAGCTCCTTGCGATTTGTTCATGGCACAAATGTGCAGTTGCCAGTGTTTAGTCCAAGAGGAATATTCGACCTTTGGTAGACATCAGCCACTGCTGGACCGCTGAAGATTTCCACACATGTCCCCAACCCTCTTCCATCAGCCACTGCTGGACAGCTAAAGCATTTCCATACGTCACCACCGCTCTTCCTGGCTGGTGATGCCATACTCCTTCTTGCAAGTCTTTATGTTTTCTGTCCACCCGCATATTACTGTCTTTTCTTTCTAACATTCTCCTCACCCGTCTCCTTATGACCTACCCTCCCCACTTCTGTTTATCAACCTTTGCTACTTTTGTGGGTGGTATCAACTTTTCTGTGTCATGGTTTATTTAACTGTAAGGTGACAAGGTAAATGTCACTTGGGTGTATAATTCTGTATTATTAAGATAGGATTTATTTAAAGAAAAAAAGAGGCATGCTTTGTGGATTTTCACTAAAAGATCTTAAAACGTAAGTACATTCAAGCAGGATGTCTGAAGCTGACCTCGCCAGAAAATTTAAATGAGTACACTCTGTATTGAATGATGGAGCACTAGTGGCGCAGTGGTTAAGAGCTATGGCGGCTAACCAGAATGTCGACAGTTTGAATCCACCAGCTGCTCTTTGGAAACCCTATGGGGCAGTTCTACTCTGTCCTATAGGGTCACTATGAGTCGAAATCAACTCAATGGCAGTGGGTTTTTTTGGTATTGAATGACAGGAAAATGAGAAATTAGGTGAAAGAAATAATGGCAGAAGTGATTAGAAAGGAAGAAGATTCTAAACTAGGAGGGCGTAAGATAAAATTTAGGTTCAAGAGTGGAATAAGACCTCAGAGGTTAAATATAAGAATTTGAATGCTCGAACACTAGGGGAAGATGGAGGGGTTAGATTAAGTGAGAGATAGAGAAGTAGATTAAGTGGAAAAAAATTGCACTGTAAGAATTTTGATTATTATACTTCATAACTGAATCATTATTATTTTCCTTCCCCAAATAGTGATGTCAGAAACTATTAGCAATAATAAAATAGAATTCTGCAGACGCTAGACAGTAAAAAAAAAAAAAAAAAATGACAAAGTTTACGATTCATTCCTCTATTTTTCTCTTAGGTAATCACTGTAACGCCTGAAGGTTATTTGTTTTGTTTGTTGGCAGATGGTGCATGGATCATTGTTTTAGCATTTAAAATATATAGAAAACCAAAAAAACCCATGGCTGTCGAGTCGATTCCGAGTCATAGCCACCCTATAGGACAGAGTAGAACTGCCCCCTAGGGTTTCCAAGGAACGGCTGGTGGATCTGAACTTCAGAACTTCCGGTTTGCAGCTGTAGCTCTTAACGACTGTGCCACCAGGGCTCCAAAATATATAGAAAGTAGAGGCCAATTTATAAGGGATAGAGCTCCCTTTTGAATTCAGTTATCTA